ACTATTAATAATAATTCTACTACTATTAATAATAGTAATACTATTATTAATAGTACTATTAATAATACTAGTACTACTAATAATACTAATCCTACTAATATTCATAGTATTACTAGTAATAAAAGTAGTAGTACTAATAGTAATACTACTAGTAGTAACACTAGTACTAATAGTACTACTAGTACTAGTACAAATAAAACTACTAGTAGTACTACTAATAGTATTACTAGTAGTACTAGTAGTAATAATAGTAATAGTAATACTACAACTATTAATAGTAGTAAAATTAGTATTACTAATAGTAATAATATTAATAATACTAATAGTAATAGTAATACTATTAATATTAATATTATTAGTAGTATTAATAATATTAATAGTAGTTATTAATAGTAGTATTATTACTATCACTACTATTACTATTACTAATAGTAATAATAGTACTAATATTAGTAATACTACTACTATTACTATTACTATTAGTATTACTACAACTATTAATACTACTAGTAGTACTACTAGAACTAGTAGTACTACTAGTACTGGTACTAGCAGTAGTACTACTAAACTAGTAGTATTAGTAGTAGTAGTAGTTTGGGTGTACCTAAGGGAGCACATATACAATGTGTACCTATAGGAGAACTTCTAACAAAAACAAAAAAAAAAGTTTGGGTGAACAGTGGTGGTGCTTTACATTAGTAAGATGTCCCAACCAGGTATTTAGGGTGTAAATTTTTTCTTTTTGACAAATATTCTTCACTTTATTTATAAAATCTACTTAAAAGAAATTATATCAGAGGAGATAGCTAGAGCGGACAAAGAAACCCCACTTTTAGACAGAAAGTCAGCCAAGGAATTTGCCTCGCGAAAGACATGACAAAAAGAAATTCAAAGTGGAGTCACCAGATCCTTAATCTGCAACCAGCTAGACCTTAGTTCTCATAGAATGCATTGCTCCTTCTTGCACCAATTAATTGCGTTCATTGAATCTCCTTCAATAATGCAGTTATTCCCGATGTTTATAGAGATAAATTTTTTTAACCCTTATAACAAAGCCAATAACTCCGATCGGTTAACGGTGGCGATACCAATAGGGCCAACATATGAGAAGATGACTGCTCTAAAATAGTCTCGCACCACACCCCCAATGCCTGCCAAACCTGGATTGCCCAAAGAGGGCTCCTATCAAAATTTAACTTAAATCCCCCACTCTCTGGTACCACCTAAATACTTATTGGTCCCATCTTTACTCTACCCATTAAAAACAAATTTGGCAAATTCAACATTTGGTTGTGAAATCCCCCAACCCTCCTTAATAACTGAGAGTCAAGATTAAATAGACAATTCGACTTTACTCAGTGTAGTCTATCAAAAGATAAACTCTCTCCCTCAAAAGTCTGTTTATTTCTTTCTTTCCATAGTTCCCATAAAGTATCCCCTCTCATTATTTGCCACCCCAAAAACCCAAAGAAGGTAAATGATTAAAGGCTAATTGTGACATTAAACCCATCACAAATTGGGACAGTGAAGCATGAACCCCAAGTAACCCAAATAACAAGTACCAAATTCTTGAGGCAACATGGCAGTGGATGACAAGATGCTCCCCAGATTTCTCATCCGCTTTAAACATCAAACATATGTTAGATAAAATTTCACCCTCTTAATCAAATTATCCACCATCATGATCATAAAAATACCTGCACCTTATGGGGAACATGTCATTTCCACACTTTGGCTGCGGCAGATAAAGACCATCTCCATCTATCGTGAAAAAAGAGCCTATAACAAGACTAGACCGAAAATACCCTATTGCACTCAACTTCCCAAATCACTTCATCTATTGCCCCCTGGGAGATATAAACTGAATCCAAAATACCCATTAAATCATTTCATTGGAGATAAATATCATCACTCAGCTTATTATATGGAAAATTAATTCTCCAAGCAACACGATTACCTCTCACTTCAACCATATTAGAAACCTTAACATTTGGTTGCAAAACCTTAACAAAAAGTTCCTGATAAGTAAGCCTCAGAGAGGCATCACCTATCCACTTATAATGCCAGAAAGAGACCAACATTCCAACGAAAATAACTCGCAATCATCGGCCTACATCTGTAAATAGACGTCCACAAAGAACATATCTCCATATTTCTACCCCATCCTAACCACATTCCCTGCCTATCCAAACCATATTTCGAAGACAAAATCTGAAACCAAAACTAATATGTATACTGAAAACTTCACCACCACCACTTACAATGAAAAACCTCATTCATATATTTGATCTTTCTAATGCCAAGACGACCTTCACTCTTAGGGGTACAAACACGATCCCACCTACGTAAGTGATACTTCCTTTCTTCCCCAAAAGACCCTCATAGAAAATTACGTATTATTATTTCAATTTTCTTTATCACGGAGGCTGGCATTTGAATAAAAGACATCAAATAGATTGGTAAATTAGCTAAACAAGAACTTAGCGATGTAACCCTACAACCCATAAACAAGTATTTCGGTTTCCAAAGACCAACTTCATTTGGACTCTCTCTAACACCTTATCCAAAACCGCTATAGAATGCTTAGAATTTGATATTAGCATTCCTAGATAAGTAAAAAGGAAGAAGCCTACCAAGCAACCAAAAAGATTTACCAAATATTTAATCAAGGTCGGAGAAAAATTAATACCTATCATTGAGGTCTTATGGAAATTGACCTTCGAATCCAAGCTACCTCACAACAATCTAAAAATCGAACAATGTTTTTCACTTGAGTCTCATCTGCTTCACAAAAAATAAGCGTATCATCCGCATGTTGCAAATGAGAAACTCTTGGACCCATCTCAACAACTTAAAACTAGAGGAATTCCCATAGCCTTCCACTTTATGAATCATCAGGCTAAAGCATTTTACATAGATAAAAAAAAAGAATGGTGACATGGGGTCCCCTTGGTGAAGACCACTGGAAGCCTTAAAAAAACCAATAGGGCTTCTCTTAAAAAGTATTGAAAAATGGGCAGAGGATAAACATCTAAAGATCCAATTCCTCTATTTAACCCCAAAACCCATATTATTAAGAATTTTCATAAGCACCCCCCATTCCACTGTCATAAGTTTTTTTCATATCAAGTTTAATAATGACTCTAGGAATTTGACTTCTTACTCTAAAACGAATAAACTCTTGAACCACCAAAATACTATCAGTGATCTAATGATTCTGAATGAAAGCAGATTGAGTGTTAAAGATAAGAAAAGATAAGACTGACTTCAATCTTTCAGCCAAGACCTTAGCCACAATCTTATAAAGACTGGTCATAAGACTGATGGGCCTAATATATGATAACTTTGCAATCACTGATTTTTAAGGGAGCTATATAAGTGGCATTAACCCCCTTGAATATCTCACCCACAGTCATAAAAGCTCTAACCATCTCTAATAATTTAGACTTAATCAAGTTCCAAAATCTATAGAAAAAAGAAAGAGGAAAACCATCTATGCTTGGAGCCTTATCACCAAATAGAGCAAAAACGACCCCCTCTAGTTTTCCATAAAGATGTTACACTCCAAATTAGAACTCTTGTCTACTGTCAAAACTTTAAAAGGTACCCTTTTCAGTTTGGAGTGAACTTCACCTCTGTCGAAAAAGTCTTCTTAAAATGGTCAATAACCCTTCCATTGCCACACTATCATCTGCCTCATTACCATGAATAGTCAAACCAAAAATATCATTTTTCCTTCTTCTCGCATCCACAATAGAATGAAAGAACTTAAAATTCAAATTACCCTCCTTTAACCATTTTATCCTTGATCTTTTCTTCCAATATAACTCCTCAGCTCTACAAGTTCATGAAGAGATTTCAACTTCGAACTCCTTTAACCCATCAAGTCCTCGGTTAACACACCTATAGACTGAACATGCTGGTCCAAAGCTTCAATTTCATATAAGACCTCATCGATTTTGGACTGAACATTAAAATTATTCTCTTTTTTCCAGACGATGAGCTTATATTTAATAATGAGCAACTTTTTATGCAATAGAAAATCCAAAGAACCAATAGAAATTGTGTTCTGCCAGGTGGTTATAATGATTTCTACAACTTCTTTCTCTTCCAACCAAGGCTTTGGCCCACCTATCTCCATGCTAGTGTATAACAAAATGAGGATATGATCAGAAGATAGACGTGGAAGAGCTCTAACAGAGACAAGAAGAAAAGCATCCACCCAATTTGCAGATACCAAAAATCTATTCAATTTCGACATTGAAAGACTAATGGTACTAGTATTCAACCAAGTACATTTAACCCCAACAATCGGAAGATCAAAGAAAGAATTACTTTTTATAAATCTATTAAACAACCTCATCGAAGAATTAATAGAATATCATGGTGATTACTCTTCTAACAACCTGATAAGATTAAAAACCCCTATGCACAGGGGGAAATGAAATTGCTAAATCATTTCATCCATATCATTGACAAAACTTTCCTTAAGAGCAGAGTCATTAGGAGCATAAACATTCATAATTCCCCAAGAAAACCCCGAGATAGGACCATGAAAGCCAAGAAGTAACAATTTGTGTCGAATAACAGTCTCAAAATTTTGTAGAACAAAAAGGTCCCACAATACCAACAAGCCACAAAAAGAAACAACCCTTGAGCCCTAGAAACAGTAGGACTAGAAAGTTTAATCTCTTGAATAATTAAAATCCAGAGCTTAAACTTAGAAACCAAAAATAAAACTTTCCTCTTACGCCTAGGGTCACCAAGACCCCTAACATTCCATGAGAGAATATTTATTACAAGGATGGTTAGAGGTGGAACCTGGCCCATCAAGACTTGCTCCGCAATAGAGCTTCTCCAACATCAATGCTTCATTCAATGCAGCAGAATTTGCCAACTTCAAAGAGTCTGAAACAGGAGAAGCAGAAGAGACCTCCGAGGGATCAATGATTTTTCATTCCTTTGATTATTGGGCTCACATGCCTTAATATTTTATGGCTTTGAAGTAACATGCATGCATTGTGCGTTATTGTATGATAAAAGCCTTTCAAGTATTTTTATGAATCGTTAGAAAAAGAAAATAGTTAGAGCACTCAAGGAAACTGAACAAATATATTAATTTAAGTATTTTTATGAATCGTTTATTCTGCTTTGATTGTGTAATTGTTATTACATTATGCAATTTCTAATTTACAATGAATTAATTTTAACCATGGTTTATAGTAAGATACTAATTGGTAACTAAGAAATTTGTTATCCTAGAGAATTTTTGAGAAATTTTGAAACATTAAAAAAAGGTCGAAGAAAAAAATTGTCTGGAAATAGACAACCTAAATTCCCTATAAAAAATTAAATTGCCAACGTAAGGTCTCTATTATAAATAAGGAAGAAATGTATTAAAAATTGGGAAGAAATGTGAAACTTGATAAAAAAAAAAGAAGAAATTTGTGTCAATTATATTAAAACTTGCAGAAAAAATTAGGACAATTGAAAAAACTATATCTCTGACGAGAAACCCTAGAATAAAATGAGAGAAAAAAGATAGCGACAAGCTTCGGCCCGTTTCCACTTTTATAGATGGGAAAAACCCTAGCCCTGGTTGGTTTATATTCTAACCTGCAGACATGGAAGATTCAATTATGTCCCTAGAATCAAATGGCGCACCCAATACCCAAAGATAGATTGCTATTAACAATTTAGAGGTCGAAAGAGGTTGATCTTACAATCACAGGAATAAATCATAATTTTTTTGCAAAAGCCCTCATGTTATTAATTATAAAGAAGTTTCCCCACATGACCAATAAAAAGAACACTAATATTTATCAACCTCCGAGGATCTCCAGGGGATAAGTTCATCCTACTATACAGCTACAAGCAAAACAGAATAACGAAACACAAACAGTGCACAGATAAAGAGGACAAAAGAATAAAAGGCTCAGATATTAATCAGCTTATCAATCTAAGAATTTTCTGAAGCAGAACCGGCATTGAGCGGAATGATGGTCCTCACAGCCGACTCTGTCTCAATAGCCAAAGAAACTAATATAAAGGAAAACCAAACAACATACATGGTACATTCAACCACATTAAGAAAATAACTAAAAAATATAAAATCACTTTTAGGAACATGAAAGATAATTAAAAAATGTGCATAAAAAACTATTCAATTTTATGACACTTTGAAGATCATTGACAAAATGATAATAAGAATCCAAAGAATTAAGTAACAAAAGAGAAAACTTAATTAGTGGCTCATATTAAGAAATTCAACCATTGACATTTTTGCTTCATGGTTCATAAACTCAGAAGCGCGGATAAATTCAAATCATCGCCATCAATTTACAAAAAAAATCAACATGGAATTGTAAAACCATAAATTAAAATAAAATAAATAAATAAGGAAGTTTAAAACTACAAAAGAAAAGCAGGACACAAAAACCCCCAAAAAGCAATTTACTAAATAGGCAACAAGAAAAAACCAAAATTAAACACCTCACAAATTGACATAAGCAATGACATGTTTTGACAATTTCAAAATGCTAGTCAGTATGGCAAAAAAAAACAAGGAATACAGTTTCGAATGTCAACTATATAACAAAAATTTAGCAAACAGATGTTGGCATGAGACATCAAGGCCTCAGTTACTATCCAGCGGTAATGTCAAAGTAATGCAAGAGCAACTCCAACTAGGTTCTCCTTGTATTCAAGGACTTGGAACCCTTGCCCTCTAACACGCAATATTGTCGTCACCGGCCTCGCTGAATTTTTCATAATAATACGACAGAACCACAAGGCACTCATACTTCAAACTTCAAACTTCAAACAATTTCCTATTAAAGTTGGAAATCTTGTAAAAATCAAAGCACCATATTCGTAGAACATGGAATTTTCCAAAAAAAAATGACTGAATCACAAGTCATTCATACTTCAAAGTTCAAACAATTCGCTATTAAACTTCGCAATCTTGTAAAAATCAAAGCACCATGTTCAAAAAGTTTACTTCATCTAATGCAATGTGATAATACACGAATTAAAACAACATACACTTGGTGCTTGATTGAGCATGAAAATGCGTTATGGCATCAGATAAAAGCCATTGATGTCATAGGAATGCAGGGGCAACTCCAAGTAGGTTCTCCTCGTGTACAAGGACTTGGAACCCTTGCATCTCCAAGATGGAACAAAATCAAAACAGCATCGCCTCTTCTAGCACATCCAACTTTTAGAATAAAAAATGGAAGATAAATTAGCCATTAAAGTCATCAGTTAATATCAAATAAAGTCATAGCAATACAAGGGCTACTCCAAGTAGGTTCTCGAAAAACAAGGACTTGGAACCCGGTGTCTCTAACATGGACAAAATCATCATCAGCAAATAATATATCCAATTGATTAATTGGAAACCAAACGAAGAACATCCAATTCATTGATCGAAAACCAAATCAAGTAGTCCTAATTCTATAGCAATCGGAACATACAAACAAATATGACATCCAACATCAAAATAATATAGAAAACATCATCATCATGTAATTGAAACGCTAGATGTCTTGAAGAAAAAGAGAAAACTCATATTACATGAATATCCAAGGGAATGAATGATTGGATCAAATATAAGGAACTTTCACAAAAATATCATATCTTGGAAAGGAAATCCAGTAAATAGCGAAATTAAACCCCGAAAAAACAAAAACTAATTATTGGAGAATGGTATAATCTAGAAAACAATAAGAAATAACAGAAAATTAAAGAAAATGATAGAAAATCCCAACCAGTGTGACAAAGTATAAAAGACACTAAACCAATAGAAATCGGAATGCGCCCACGTTAAACTCGCCATGGGTGGTTTCTGCCTCCATGACTGCGCATTTGTGGCACCAAAAATCTCCACAAGCTTAAGGTGAGGCATCAATATTATTAACATTTTACATGATTAACTGCCCACTGAGGTGACGACATACAATGGCATCAAGGCTTCAAAATTTTAATAGCTAAACAAAGATGTTGCTGTAGCTTTGACACAAGTATAGACCGAGAGATCGGCCAACCTGCAACACTCAACAATGGATTAATATTGCACGGGCAATGTGGCTTTCATCTTCATGAAAACATATAAGAGAAGCCCGGGTTTGCATCGTGCGATAATTGAAGTAGCAGAGAAAAATCCTAGGTTATAAAACCTTAGAATTTGGGGAACATTAAGGCCTTTGACATCCATGAGACGTAAAATCCTAGGGTTTTGGGTACTAACGAGACCCCCTGTGAGAGGTAAGCCAGAACATGTAGCATACAAAAATCTTATTACCTGCTCGTTTTACATAGGAAACTCTGAAAATTGAAACTACGAGAAAACATGAAGGCAGAGAAGAACAAAACCTGCAGCGACATATGAGAAACTTAAAAACTGCAGCAATAGAAGGAAAGAAAAAAGATAGCGACAAGCTTCAGCCCGTTTCCACTTTTATAGATGGGAAAAACCCTACCCTTGCTTGGTTCATATTCTAACCTGCAGACATGAAAGATTCAGTTATGTCCCTAGAATCACATGGCACACCCAATACCCAAAGATAGATTGCTATTAACCATTTACAGGTGGAAAGATGTTTATCTTACAATCACAAGAATAAATCATATTTCTTTTGCAAAAGCCCTCATCTTATTAATTATAAAGAAGTTTCCCCACATGACCAAATAAAAACCAAACTAATATTTATCAACCTCCAAGGATCTCCATGGCACTACTTCATCCTACTATACAGCTACAAGCAAAACAGAATAACGAAACACTAACAGTGCACATATATAGAGGACAAGAGAATAAAAGGCTCAGCTATTAATCAGCTTATCAATCAAGAATATTCTGAAGAAGAACTAGCATTGAGGTTAATGATGGTCCTCACAACCGACCCTGTCTCAGTAGTACAAGAAACTAATATAAAGGAAAAACGAAACAACAGACGTGGAGCATTCAACGACATTAAGCTCATAACTGAAAAATATAAAATCACCATCTTTTGGTACAAAAAAGATAATTAAAATGCTGAGGAAACATTAAATTAAAAAAGTGCATAAAAAACTATTCAATTTTATGACACTTTGAAGACCATTGACAAAACGATAATAAGAATCCAAAGAATTAAGTAACGAAAGAGAAACTTAATTAGTGGCTCATAGTAAGATATTCAACCATTGACTTTTTTTCTTCAAGGTTCATAAACTCAGAAGCGCAGATAAATTCAAATCATCGCCATCAATTTACATAAAAATCAACATGGAAATGTAAAACAAGAAATTAAAAATATAAAATATAAAATAAAAGAATAAAAAAATCAAAATAAGGAAAATTAAAACCACAAAAAAAAAGACGAAACCAAAAATCCGCAAAAAGCAATTTAATAACTAGGCCAATGGAAAATTTCAAACAAAACGCCTAAGAAAATGACATAAACAATGACATGTTTTTACAATTTCAAAATGCTAGTCAGTATGGAAAAACAATACATGGAATATAGTTTCCAATGTCAATTATATGACAAATTTAGCAAACAGATGTTGGCAAGAGACATCAAGACCTCAGTTACGATCCAGCGGTAATGTCACAGTATAAGAGCAACTCCAAGTAGGTTCTCCTTGCATTCAAGGAATTGGAACCCTTGCCCTCCAACACGCATATTATCGTCACCAGCCTCACTGAATTATTCATAATAATACGAAACAACCACAAGTCACTCATACTTCAAACTTCAAACAATTTGCTATTAAACTTGGAAATCATGTAAAAATCAAAGCATCATTTTCGTAGAACACGGAATTTTCCAAACAAAAATGACTGAATCACAAGTCAATCATACTTCAAAGTTCAAACAATTCGCTATTAAACTTGCCAATCTTGTAAAAATCAAAGCACCATTTTCAAAGAATTTACTGCACCTAATACAATGTGATAATGCAAGAATTAATACAGCATAATGCAAGAATTAATACAGCAAACACTTGGTGACTGATCGAGTATGAAAATGCGCCATGGCATCAGATAAAATCCACAGATGTCATAGGATGGCAGGGGCAACTCCAAGTAGGTCTCCTTGTGAACAAGGCCTTGAAACCCCTGCATCTCCAAGATGGAACAAAATCAAAACATCATCGCCTTTTTAGCACATCCAACTTTAAGAAAAAAAACAAAAAAAACAAAAATTTAGTATTAAAGCCATCATTTAATATCCAATAAAGTCATAGCAATACAAGGGCTACGCCAAGTAGATTCTCATTGTAAAACAAGGACTTAGAACCCCAGTATCTCCAACATGGACAAAATCATCATCAGCAAATAACATACCCAATTGATTAATTGCAAACCAAACAAAGTACATCGAATTCAATAATCGCAAACCCAATCAAGTGGTCCTAATTCAATAGAAATAGATACAAATAAATACGACATCAAATATCAAAATAATACATAAAACATCATCATCATGCAATTGAAACACTATAAGTCTTGAAATATAAGAGAAAACTCATACTACATGAATATCCGGAGGAGTGAGATGATCGAAACAAATATAAGGAACATTCACAAAAACATCATATCTTGGAATGGCAATCCAATAAACATCGAAATAGAACCCCGAAAAAATAAACTAAAAATAGGAAAATACTACAATCTAGAACAACATAAGAAAATGACAGAGAATTAAAGAAAATGAAAGAAAATCCAAACCAATATGGAGAAGTATTTTAGACACTAAACCATTAGAAATCAGAATGTGCCCACGTTAAACTCACCATGGTTGGTTTCTGCCTCCATGACTGCGCATTTGTGGCACCAAAAATCTCCACAAGCTTAAGGTGAGGCATCAATATTATTTACATTTTACATGATTAACTGCCCACTGAGGTGACGAAATACAACGGTCACAAGGCTTCAAAATTTTAATAGCTAAACAAAGATGTTGTTGTTGCTTTGACACAGCTATAGACCGAGAGATCGGCCAATCTGCAACACTCAACAGCTGATTCATATTGCACGGGCATTGGGCCTTTCATCTTCATGAAAACATACAAGAGAAGCCCGGGGTTTGCATCGTGCGATGACAGAAGTAGCAGAGAAAAATCTTGGGTTACAAAACCTTAGATTTTGAGGAACATTAAGGCCTTTGAAATCCATGGGATGTAAAATCCGAGGGGTTTTTGGTGCTAACCAGGCTCCCTGTGAGAGGTAAGCCTGAACACATTGCATTAAAAAATCTTATTACCTACTCATTTTACATAGAAAACGCTGAAAATCGGAAGTACGAGAAATCGTAATGGCCGAAATCCGTGTATGAAGGCCAGGGCTTTCAGAAACGATAGAAAACATGAAGGCAGAGACGAACAAAAACTGCAGCGACATATGAGAAACTTAGAAACTGCAGCCATAGATAAGAAACCCAAGAATAAAATGAGAGAAAAAAGGATAGCGACAAGCTTCAGCCCGTTTCCACTTTTATAGATGGGAAAAACCCTAGCCCTGCTTGGTTTATATTCTAACCTGCAAACATGGAAGATTCAGTTATGTCCCTAGAATGAAATGACACACCCAATACCCAAAGATAGATTGCTATTAACCATTTACAGGGGGAAAGATATTTATCTTACAATCACAAGAATAAATCATAATTTTTTTGCAAAAGCCCTCATGTTATTAATTATAAAGAAGTTTCCCCACATGACCAATAAAAACTACACTAATATTTATCAACCTCTTAAGGATCTCCATGGCATAAGTTCATCCTACGATACAGCTACAAGCAAAAGAGAATAACGAAACACAAACAGTGCACATATATAGAGGACAAGAGAATAAAAGGCTCAAATATTAATCAGCTTATCAATCAAGAATTTTCTGAAGCAGAACTGGCATTAAGCTGAATGATGGTCCTCACAGCCGACTCTGTCTCAGTAGTCCAAGAAACTAATATAAAGGAAAAACCAAACAACAAACATGGTGCTTTCAACCCCATTAAGAACATAACTGGAAAATATAAAAATATCAACTTTTGGAACATGAAAGATAATTAAAAAATGTGCATAAAAAACTATTCAATTTTATGACACTTTGAAGACCATTGAAAAAATGATAATAAGAATCCAAAGAATTACGTAACAAAAGAGAATCCTTAATTAGTAGCTCATATTACATTGACTTTCTTGCTTCATGGTTCATAAACTCAGAAGCGCGGATAAATTCAAATCATTGCCATCAATTTTTTAAAAAAATCAACATGGAACTATAAAACCATAAATTAAAAAAAACAAAAAAAAATAAGGAACTTTAAAACCACAAAAGAAAGCCAAGACACAAAAATCCCCAAAAAGCAATTTAATAACTAGGCCACAAGAAAAATCCAAACAAAACACCTCACAAATTGACATAAGCATTGACATGTTTTTACAATTTCAAAATGCTAGTCAGTATGGCAAAACAATACAAGGAATACAGTTTCCAATGTTAATTCTATGACAAAAGTTTAGCAAACAGAAGTTGGCATGAGACATCAAGGCCTCAGTTACTATCCGGCGGTAATGTCACAGTAATGCAAGAGCAACTCCAAGTAGGTTCTCCTTGTATTCAAGGACTTGGAACCCTTGCCCTCCGACACGCATATTGTCGTCACCGGCCTTGCTGAATTTTTCATAATAATACGACAGAATCACATGTCACTCATATTTCAAACTTCAAACAAATTAACTATTAAACTTGGAAATCTTGTAAAAATCAAAGCACCATGTTCGTAGAACATGGAATTTTCCAAAAAAAAATAACAGAATCACAAGTCATTCATACTTCAAAGTTCAAACAATTCGTTATTAAACTTGGCAATCTTTTAATAATCAAAGCACCACATTCAAAGAATTTACTTAATCTAATGCAATGTGAAATAACATGAATTAAAACAGCATAAACTAGGTGGTTGATTGAGCATGAAAATGCGTTATGGTATCAGATAAAATCCATTGATGTGATAGGAATGCAGGGGCAACTCCAAGTAGGTTCTCCTTGTGAACATGGACATGGAACCCCGACATCTCCAAGATGGAACAAAATCAAAACATCATCGCCTCTATTAGCACATCCAACTTCTAGCAAAAAAAATGGAAGATAAATTTAGCATTAAAGTCTTCAATTAATATCCAATAAAGTAATAGCAATACAAGGGCTACTCCAAGCAGGTTCTCCTTGTAAAACAAGGACTTGGAACCCCAGTATCTCCAACATGAACAAAATTATCATCAGCAAATAACATACCCAATTGATTAATTGGAAACCAAACGCAGAACATCCAATTCGTTGATCGAAAACCAAATCAAGTGGTCCTAATTCTATAGAAATAGAAACATACAAAACAAATATGACAACCAACATCAAAATAATACAGAAAACATCATCATAATGTAATTGAAATGCTAGATGTCTTGAAATATAAGAGAAAACTCATATTACATGAATATCCAGAGGAAAGAATGATCGGATCAAATATAAGGAACTTTCACAAAAACATCATATCTTGGAATGGAAATTCAGTTAACATCGAAATCAAACCCCGAAAAAAAAAAAACTAAGTATCGGAGAATTGTATAATCTAGAACAACATAAGAAAATGACAGAAAATCCAAACTAATGTGGCTTTCTTTTTAGATACTAAACCATTAGAAATCGGAACGTGCCCACGTTAAACTCGCCATGGTTGGTTTCGGCCTCCATGACAACGCATTCGTGGCACCAATAATCTCAAAGCGCTTAAGGTGAGGCATCAATATTATTTACATTTTACACGATTAACTACCCACTGAGGTGACGAAATACAATGGTGACAAGGCTTCAAAATTTTAAAAGCGAAACAAAGATGTCGTTGTTGCTTTGACACAGGTATAGACCGATAGATCGGCCAACCTGCAACACTCAACAGCTGATTCATATTGCACGGGCATTGGGGCTTTCATCTTCATGAAAACATATAAGAGAAGCCCGGGGTTTGCATCGTGCGATGACGGAAGTAGCATAGAAAAATCCTAGTTTGTAAAACCTTAGATTTTGAGGAACATTAAAGCCTTTGGTTTCCATGGGATGTAAAATCCTAGGGTTTTTGGTACTAACGAGACTCCCTGTGAGAGGTAAGTCTCAACATATTGCATAAAAAAATCTTATTACCTGCTCGTTATACATAGGAAACTCTGAAAATCGAAAGTACGAAAAATCATAATGGCTGAAATCTGACTATGAAGGCTAGGGTTTGCAAGAACGATAGAAACATGAAGGCAGAGATGAACAAAACCTGCAGCAACATATGAAAAACCTAGAAACTGCAGCAATAGAAGAGAAAACCTAGCATAAAAGGAGAGAAAAAAGACAGCGACAAGCTTCAGCCTGTTTCCACTTTTATAGATGGGAAAAACCCCAACCCTGCTCGGTTCATATTTAAACTGCAGACATGGAAGATTCAGTTATGTCCCTAGAATCAAATGGCACACCCAATACCCAAAGATAGATTGCTATTAACCATTTACAGGTGGAAAGATGTTTATCTTACAATCACAAGAATAAATCATAATTTTTTTGCAAAAGCCCTCATGTTATTAATTATAAAGAAGTTTCCCCACATGACCAATAAAAACCACACTAATCTTTATCAACCTCTTAAGGATCTCCATGGCATAAGTCCATCCTACGATACAGCTACAAGCAAAAGAGAATAACGAAACACAAACAGTGCACATATATAGAGGACAAGAGAATAAAAGGCTCAGGTATTAATCAGCTTATCAATCAAGAATTTTCTGAAGCAGAACTGGCATTAAGCTGAATGATGGTCCTCACAGCCGACTCTGTCTCAGTAGTCCAAGAAACTAATATAAAGGAAAAACCAAACAACAAACATGGTGCTTTCAACCCCATTAAGAACATAACTGGAAAATATAAAAATATCAACTTTTGGAACATGAAAGATAATTAAAATGCTGAGGAAACATTAAATTAAAAAAGTGCATAAAAAACTATTCAATTTTATGACACTTGGAAGACCATTGACAAAACGATAATAAGAATCCAAAGAATTAAGTAACAAAAGAGAAAACCTAATTAGTGGCTCATAGTAACATATTCAACCATTGACTTGTGTTCTTCATGGTTCATAAACTCAGAAGCGCGGATAAATTCAACTCATCGCCATCAATTTACATAAAAATCAACATGGAAATGTAAAACAAGAAATTAAAAATAAAAAATAAATAAATAAAAAATAAAAAAAACAAAAATAAGGAAATTTAAAACCACAAAAGAAAAGGAAGAAACAAAAATCCGCATAAAGCAATTTAATAACAAGGCCACAAGAAAAATTCAAACAAAACGCCTAACAAATTGACATAAGCAATGATATGTTTTTACAATTTCAAAATGCTAGTCAGTATGGCAAAACAATATATGGAATATAGTTTCCAATGTCAATTATATGACAAATTTAGCAAACAGATGTTGGCAAGAGACATCAAGACCTCAGTTACGATCCAGCGGTAATGTCACAGTAATGCAAAGGCAACTCCGACTAGGTTCTCCTTGTATTCAAGGACTTGAAACCCTTGCCCTCCAACACGCATATTGTCGTCACCGGCCTCACTGAATTTTTCATAATAATACGAAACAACCACAAGTCACTCATACTTCAAACTTCAAAAAATTTGCTATTAAACTTGGAAATCTCGTAAAAATCAATGCACCATGTTCATAGAACACTGAATTTTCCAAAAAAAAAAGACTGAATCACAAGTCATTCATACCTCAAAGTCCAAATAATTCGCTAATAAACTTGGAAATTTTTTAAAAATCAAAGCACCATTTTCAAAGAATTTACTTCACCGAATGCAATGTGATAATGCAAGAATTAAAACAGCAAACACTTGGGGATTGATCGAGCTTGAAAATGCGCCATGGCATCAGATAAAATCCATTGATGTAATAGGAATGCAGGGGCAACTCGAAGTAGGTCTCCTTGTGAACAAGGTCTTGGAACCCCTGCATCTCCAAGATGGAACAAAATCAAAACATCATCGCCTCTTTTAGCACATCCAACTTTAAGAAAAAAAAAATGGACGATAAATTTAGCATTAAAGCCATCATTTAACATCCAATAAAGCCATAGCAATACAAGGGCTTCGCCAAGTAGGCTCCCCTTGAAAAATTAGGACTTGGAAACCCAATATCTCAAACATGGAAAAAATCATCATCAACAAATAACATACCCAATTGATTAATTGAAAACCAAACAAAGAACGTCGAATAAAGTGATCGCAAACCAAATCAAGTGGTCCTAATTCTATAGAAATAGAAAATACAAATAAATATGACATCAAATAACAAAATGAGAGAAAAAAGATAGCGACAAGCTTCGGCCCGTTTCCACTTTTATAGATGGGAAAACCCTATGCCTGCTTGGTTTATATTCTAATCTGCAAACAACGAAGATTAAGTGATGTCCCTAGAATCGAATGGCACACCCAATACCTAAAGATAGATTGCTATTAACCATTTACAGGAGGAAAGATGTTTATCTTACAATCACAAGAATAAATCATAATTTTTTTGAAAAATCCCACATGTTATTAATTATAAAGAAGTTTCCCAACATGACCGATAAAAACCACACTAAGATTTATCAACCTCCAAGGATCTCCATGGCATAAGTTCATCCTACTATACAACTACAAGCAAAACAGAATAACGAAACACAAACAGTGCACATACATACAGGACGAGAGAATAAAAGGCTCAGGTATTAATCAGCTTATCAATCAAGAATTTTCTGGAGCAGAACTGGCATTATGCTGAATGATGGTCCTCACAGCCGACTCTGTCTCAGTAGTCCAAGAAACTAATATAAAGGAAAAACCAAACAACATAGATAGTGTTTTCAACCACATTAAGAAAATAACTGGAAAATATAAAATCATCAAAACATGAAAGATAATTAAGAAATGCGCATAAAAAACTATTCAATTTTATGACACTTTAAAGACCAATGAAAAAATGATAAGAAGAATCCAAAGAATTACGTAACAAAAGAGAAAACTTAATTAGTGGCTCATATTAAGAAATTCAACCAATGACTTTTTTGCTTCATGGTTCATAAACTCAGAAGCGCGGATAAATTCAAATCATTGCCATCAATTTTAAAAAAAAATCAACATGAAAAGGAAAAACCATAAATTAAAAAAAACAAAAATAAATAAGGAAGTCTAAAACAAAAAAAGAAAACCAGAACAGAAAAATCCCCCAAAAAGAATTTAATAACTAGGCCACAAGAAAAATCCAAAAAAAACACTTCACAAATTGACATAAGCATCGACATGTTTTTACAATTTCAAAATGCTAGCCAGTAGGGCAAAACAATACAAGGAATACACTTTAAAATGTCAATTATATGACAAAAATTTAGCAAAGAGATGTTGGCATGAGACATCAAGGCCTCAGTTACTATCCAGCGGTAATGTCACAGTAATGCAAGAGAAACTCCAAGTAGGTTCTCCTTGTATTCAAGGACTTGCAACCCTTGCCCTCCAACACGCATATTGTCATCACCGGCCTCGTTGAATTTTTCATAATAATACAACAGAATCACAAGTTACTCATATTTCAAACTTCAAACAATTTGCAAGTAAACTTGGAAATCTTGAAAAAATCAAAGCACCATGTTCGTAGAACATGGAATTTCCAAAAAAAAATGACTGAATCACAAGTCATTCATACTTCAAAGTTCAAAAGATTCGCTTTTAAACTTGGCAATCGTTTAAAAATCAAAGCACCACATTCAAAGAATATACTTCATCTAATGCAATGTGATAATACATGAATTAAAACAGCATACATTTGGTGGTTAATTGAGCATGAAAATGTGTTATGGCATCAGATAAAATACATTGATGTCATAGGAATGCAGGGCAACTCCAAGTAGGTTCTCCTTGTAAACAAGGACATGGAACCCCGACATCTCCAAGATGGAACAAAATAAACACATCATCGCCTCTATTAGCACATCCAACTTCTAAAAAAAAAAATGGAAGAAAAATTTAGCATTAAAGTCATCAATTAATACCCAATAAAGTCATAGCAATACAAGGGCTACTCCAAATAGGTTCTCCAGGTAAAACAAGAACTTGCAACCCCAGTATCTCCAACATGGACAAAATCATCATCAGCAAATAACATACCCAATTGATTAATTGGAAACCAAACGAAGAACATCCAATTCATTGATCGAAAACCAAATCAAGCGGTCCTAATTCCATATAAATAGAAACATACAAACAAATATGACAACCAACATCAAAATAATACAGAAAACATCATCATCATGTAATTGAAATGCTAGATCTCTTGAAGTATAAGAGAAAACTCATATTACATGAATATCCAGAGGAAAGAATGATCGGATCAAATATAAGGAACTTTCACAAAAACATCATATCTTCGAATGGAAATCCAGTAAACATCGAAATCAATCCCCGAAAAAAAATAAACTAAATATTGGAGAATTGTATAATCACGAACAACATAAGAAAATGACAGAAAATCCAAACTAGTGTGGCGAAGAATTTAGGTACTAAACCATTAGAAATTGGAATGTGCCCACGTTAAACTCGCCATGGTTGGTTTCTGCCTCCATGACTACGCATTTGTGGCACCAACAATCTCCACAAGCTTAAGGTGAGGCAGCAATATTATTTACATTTTACATGATTAACTACCCACTGAGGTGACGAAATACAATGGTGACAAGGCTTCAAAAGTTTAAAAGCGAAACAAAGATGTCGTTGTTGCTTTGACACAGGTATAGACCGAGAGATCGGCCAACCTGCAACACTTAACAACTGATTCATATTACACAGGCATTGGGGCTTTCATCTTCATGAAAACATATAAGAGAAGCCCGGGGTTTGCATCGTGCGATGACAGAAGTAGCAGAGAAAAATCTAGGGTTATAAAACCTTAGATTCTGAGGAACATTAAGGCCTTTGAAATCCATGGGATGTAAAATCCTAGGGTTTTTGGTAATAACGAGGCCCCCTGTGAGAGGTAAGATTGAACATATTGCATTAAAAAATCTTATTACCTGCTAGTTTTACATAGGACTCTGAAAATCGAAAGTACGAGAAATGATAATGGCTGAAATCTAAGTATGAAAGCAAGGGTTTTCAGGAACGATAGAAAACATGAAGGCAAAGACGAACAAAATCTGCAGCGACATAAGAGAAATCGAGAAACTACAACAACAGATGAGAAACCTTAGCATAAAAGGAGCGAAAAAAGATAGCGACAAGCTTCGGCCCGTTTCCATTTTTATAGATGGGAAAAACCCTAACCCTGCTTGGTTCAAATTCTAAGCTGCAGACATGGAAGATTTAGTTATGTCCCTAGAATAAAATGGCACACCCAATACCCAAAGATAGATTGCTATTAACCATTTACAGATGGAAAGATATTTATCTTACAATCACAAGAATAAATCATAATTTTTTTGCAAAAGCCCTCATCTTATTAATTATGAAGAAGTTTCCCCACATGACCAACAAAAACCACACTAATATTTATCAACCTCCAAGAATCTCCAAGGCATAAGTTCATCCTACTATATAGCTACAAGCAAAACAGAATAACGAAACACATGCAGCGCACATATATAGAGGAAGAGAGAATAAAAGGCTCAGAAATTAATCATCTTATCAATGAAGAATATTCTGAAGCAGAACTGGCATTGAGCTTAATGATGGTCCTCAAAGCCGACTCTGTCTCAGTAGTCCATGAAACTAATGTAAAGGAAAAACGAAACAACAAACATGCTGTTTTCAACCACATTAAGAACATAACTGAAAAATATAAAATCATCATCTTGTGGAACATAAAAGACAATTAAAAAATGTGCATGAAAACCAATTCAATTTTATGACACTTTGAAGACCATTGAAAAAATGATAATAAGAATCCAAAGAATTAAGTAACAAAAGAGAAACTTAATTAGTGGCTTATATTAAGCAATTCAACCATTGACTTTTTGCTTCATGGTTCATAATCATAGAAGCACGGATAAATTCAAATCATCGCCATCAATTTACAAAAAAATCAACACGGAATTCTAACACTATAAATTAAAAATAAACAAATAAATACGGAAGTTTAAAACCACAAAAGAAAACCAGAACACAAAAATCCCAAAAAATCAATTTAATAACTAGGCCACAACAAAATCCAAGCAAAACACCTCACAAATTGAAATCAGCAATGGCTTGTTTTTACAATTTCAAAATGCGAGTCAGTAGGGCAAAACAATACAAGGAATACAGTTTCCAATGTCAATTATATGACAAAAATTTAGCAAACAGATGTTGGCATGAGACATCAAGGCCTCAGTTACTATCTAGCAGTAATGTCACAGTAAGGCAAGAGCAACTCCAAGTAGGTTCTCCTTGTATTCAAGGACTTGGAACCCTTGCCCTCCAACACGCATATTGTCGTCACCGGCCTCGCTGAATTTTGCATAATAATACGACAGAACCACAAGTCACTCATACTTCAAACTTCAAAAATTTCCAATAAACTTGGAAATCTTTTAAAAATCAAAGCACCATGTTCGTAGAACATGGAATTTAAAAAAAAAAAAAAAAACTGAATCACAAGTCATTCATACTTCAAAGTTCAAATTATTCGCTATTAAACTTGGCAATCTTGTAAAAATCAAAGCACCATGTTTAAAGAAATTAATTCATGTAATGCAATGTGATAATACAAACAGCATACACAAGGTGGTTGAATAAGCATGAAAAGGCATTATGGCATCAGATAAAATCCATTGATGTCATAGGAATGCAGAGGAACCTCCAAGTAGGTTCTCCTTGTGAACAAGGACATGGAACCCCTGCATCTCCAAGATGGAACAAAATCAAAACATCATCGCCTCTTTTAGCACATCCAACTTTTAGAAGAAAAAATGGAGGATAAATTTAGAATTAAAGTCATCACTA